GATAGGTGCACAAGCCATCCCACCACGTCAAGGTGCAGTTTCATCGTGATGTTGTGATTTTACTTCAAGGAACACTAGCAGGGCATTTCGCAGCGGAGGTTGCTTGTAGATCTGAAGCGGGTGACCGACCGAGGCACTGGATATCTGAGTAGTCAATAGCACTGATGGAGAAAAAGCGGCAAATGCTGATCGTCCGGGATCAAAGTAGAGTTAGGTGGCGTCTGCAACGTCAACTCAAGAGCATCAAGAAAGGTCGTGAGAACTGGTGGGCAGCGATAGCTAGTGAAATGGAAGTAGCAGCTGCATCAGGGAGTAGTCAAAGACTGTTCCAACTGATACGCAATACGGGAAGTCGGCGAACCATAGTTAGTGAAAATATCTGCAATAAAAGTGGGCAAGCTATTCACAATAGAGAACAAGGGCATGACCGGTGGGCTGAGTACATTAACGGACAGTTCCGCTGTCCATGTGCTAACCAGACTATAACGCCTGTTGTAGTTGAGGCTCCATGGGAAGTGTCATGTGAACCTCCTACTGAAGCAGAAGTTCGATCTTGCATCCAAACACTGAAGAAAGGAGAAGCAGCAGGAACGGAAGGGCTTTACTACATTCTTTTCAAAATTGGAGGTGATGACCTCGTAGACTCCATTCACTGATTTAATGCGTAACATATGATCACACGAGCGCAGTCCATCATCCTGGAGCAAGTCACTGATTGTTCTCATGTTCAAGAACGGATCTCACAACGACTGCGCAAACCACCGTGGAATGAACTTGATCCCAATCGTCACCAAGTTACTAGCCTCCATCATACTTCAACGTCTGACACGGTTTAGGGAGACAAACATCCGCGAAAAACCATCAGGATTTCGACCAGGCCGTGGTTATCGATAAAATCTTCACCCTGCGTCAAGTCCTCGAGCTACGAAATACGTAACGTCGACCAACGGTTGTCGTGTTCCTTGAACTAAAACGATCCTTCTACTCAGATGATCGTAATTCTCTTATGAGTTCGCAAAGGACTGCTGAGAAGTACGTGAACATACCGGGTTCACTCTACTCGCATACTCCTGGTAACATAAGGGTCTATGGCGAGCTGAGTAGGTCGTTCGTAGCTAGCAGCGTCAAGGGTGCCCTCTTTCACCTGTTTTATTGAAGTTAAAATGTCGCGTATACTGTGCCACTGTGCAATCAGTTCCGTTTTACGGTTGTGAGACCTTGAATTTGCGAGCAGAAGACATCCGTCGCCTGGTCGTTTTCGACAATCGATGCTTACGTAGTCTGGCCCAAGTGGGATGGAGTAAGCTGGTTAGTAAATTAGGATTAAGTCCTCGGGTATTTGGGAATGTGTCGAACAAGAACTCGCTATCGCATCGAATCCAGTTAAATAGGATCCGTGGGTTAGGACTTGTTTTGCCTATGCCCGACGGTCGCCTACCGGAGCGCGCCTTATTTGTAGTGGCTGTTTCCGGCTGGAAAAAGCCGCGCAGAGGTCAACAGGTGACGTGGAGACCAGACATGAAGAAATGCATAGTGATTATGTAGAGCAGATGTCTCTTGTCTTCAGGGACGGGGTTTAAAGCCGCATGGTTGGAGACACTGAGTGTCATGGCTGCGAACCGACAGCAATGGCGGTCTTGCTGCCACTTCTTATCAGACCAGAATGCTTGAAGTAGTGTGCGTACACAATGGAACTGTGTACTCTATGTTGACCATAGAAGTTCGCTGGGAGCAGACTGTGTGACGTGAAGGCTGGAGGCGAGACGTACGTCGGACATCAAAATTAACTCAGTCTCAGACATGAACAAAGCCTCAAGCACACCACCAGCGTTAATTTCACTTCCACTGGACGTTCGCTCTTCTAGATCCCAAGCCAGTCGAACCACTGGAACCCAACCTGAGAGCGAGACGCTGAACCGACAGAGTCCGACGCTTTGTACGACCATTCCAAGTGGACCCCAAGGCCAAACGGTACCAATGAACTTTGCTGGGGAAGATGTTAGGTAAAAAGACTATTTTCACCTAAAACTGTCTATTTTTCGAGTATTTTCAAATTTATTTTTTTCATAATTGAAACTTTTTTGGGTGTTAATCGTCCACACCCAAATGGCAGTCACTGATTGATCCATCCTTTAAATTTCCTCATTTTTTGCATCATTTCTCAAGGTCTCCGTGTCCGGAGACCAGAACAGTATATAAGCAGTTGATTTTTCACTGTAATTTTGACTTGCTTCCTGTGAGTCAAGTACACGTTCGCTGTCCACCATCTGTTCTTGCTTACGTAGCTGGGAGAAGGCTCGTGGTGTCCAACCTGTGCTGTGATCGTGCTTATGGGGCTAAACGACTAGTGCAACCGTTGAGGTACGCGCTCCGCGGTGTTCGGACCAACCTCGTGTCACTGTATGCATTCGCGCTCTGTGATATCGTGCACGTCGTCCGTGAGTGCCTACTCTGCGCTTCGTCGTTCAATGTCGATAGTGGGTGCCACTATCATTGTGTTGTGTTGTGTTCCATCGACTCCACTTCGGGTACATTGTGTATCGCGCCGCTCTGTCACTGTCATTGTGCATTGTCCCTCCGTGCGTAACCCTTGTGTGTCATCGTGTGTTATCTTGTGTCTTATTGTGTGACATCTTGTTGTGTTTTACATTGTGATTGATCGAGAAAGACACAACACTTTTTCTGTCCCCAAAATTAAGTATAATCCCTATCCTCCTTACCCATTCTCACTTACCTTGTATGCATTATGAATTTGGCAACGATCAGTGAAGTTCACTCTATTGTATTGCGCTGTACAATGATGTTGATGATGATGTCCTTTTGCGCCACATACGGCGCATACATCTTTTTGGATAGCTTGGATCATCCTAGGTGGTACAACAATGATTGCACAGAATACATTCGGCAGCATTCTTATTGCATTTACCACACTAATTTGCAGCAGTGGAAATGTATATTACTGTGGCAGGAGGTAAAATAAAAATAATTTAAACATCAAAGATCCGGAGCATACTAATAGAACTGAAAAACTGGCGTAGATTGCAAAAAGTAAAATCGTGAAAAAAGCCGCACTGCAGTCCATAAGCCTAATCAAAAAGGACCATGAAGCGACCTTTTAAATGGTCAGAACGTTGATGACGAAGGCAATGACAGTTATTGAATACCCCTAGAAAGTGAGTATCCCAAAAGTACTGCTAGTTCTTATTCCTACTGCCCATCGCTACGTAAACCTTTTGAAATAACACTAATCAGTACCACCCGTAGTAAACCCTTGGCATTGTTGCTCGTTTGGGTAGCCGTTCGAAACCACAAAATAAAAACTAACCACCACAATCCATGGAAATAATTTTCACGTCATAGCACCTAAGGAAATTCCAAGTCCTACTGGTGTACGAACCTGGGCGCACGTTAGGAAAACGCCTTTTTTCGTCCTAGAAACCTGACCTGACCTAAGTGGTTGCGAAGTTTACACCTGTCCGTTGTGTCCGCGTGTCGGACGTCAAGCTAGGTTGAAATATAGTCTTAATTTATTAAACGACATTAGTCTTCATTATGGTTCACAAGAAACGCAGACATTTCTAGCATTGGGTGTCCTGTACAAACCGCAGGTTCTGGTCCCACTGTATAAGATTATCATCCAGCCGCATCTGGAGTAGTGTCCAGGGATGGGCACCATACTTACAGAAGAACCTAGATTGCCTAAAAAGAGTTCAACGGCTAGCCACCTGAATGGTATCTGGTCAGAGTTACAAGGATTACGAGGACAGAACCAGGNTTTCAAATCGACGCAGATGCATGAGGGTTAATTTAATTGAAATGTTCAAGATAATGAACGCTTTTCCGGGTATCTCTGCGATCCCGACAAAAGGCACCAGGGGGCATAGCTTCAGAATTCGCCGTAACCACAGTAGAATGCAACTTTGAGCAAGGTTCGTCACCAACAGGGTGATCCCACTATGGATTAGGCTATCAGAACACGCACTGTAGTGGCATTCAATGTTGGAGAACCGTCTACCGAGAAGCGGACTACTAAGGAGTAAGGAGTTAATAAAACACAATAGCCGGTAAGGTTCTAGGTTTGCACATGTGGACGTATGCTCGGGATAAGTGTTTTTTAGGTATTTTCTATGAATACGCCAGATGTGTGGTCAGGATCAGGGTCCCTCATACTAATCACTAACCTATAGCAGCTTGACCCAGGCCTAGACCGCTGAGTCTCGTTTGTTTATTTTTAGAAACACCCCAGCCAGGAACATCCATTGAGGATTGAGACAACTGGATGTACCAACGAAAACGAAACGTCACGGTCGAGAGCTGTGATCGACTATACGCAATTGGAACCTAAAACCACCCGCCGACAACACAACAATCTGGACGCTCGACTAGCTTTAAGCCACATTTCGTCTTGTGTGTACTGAACTGAAATCGAAACATTTTGCCCTGAGGTGGAAAAAGGGTGTATTGTGGGCATATTTCGAGGTTCTGCGTAGAATTCGATCATAGAAAAACAAAAACAGCGACCATAGGCGCAACCGCGTTTTCCCTGATTAGATTCTCTTTGTGATTATCATAAGTATTAAAAAAACTACCGAACGATCATTACACTGTGCTACTTTTGGAAAACACTCATCGGTGATCACTCAAATTGATGGTACATATATAAATAGATATACTTATACTCGGTTAAATGAGAAAAATATATCCAATCTGGACCACTCAGTTAGGAAAATAAAAAATGAATTATTAATAATCCCACTGTTCAGTTCAGTTCAGTTTTCACAAGACGAATATGGCTCATGCCAATTGTTTGATTTACACTGAAAAGTGCTCAACTTCCATTCATTCGAATGTGTAAACTATTTAAAAATAATTTTTATTCTTATTTAATACAAGGCTCTTCAATTACGCATCATAAATGTAACGATAAGTGCCGCATTAAGTGATACCAAGAGACGAACCTTTCACGTGCTGGTGTAACGCAAACCCTCAAGGTCGGCTCAATTCAGTTCAGTTCAGTTTGAATATTTGAATATCCAGTCCAGTCCAGTCCAGTCTTCACAGGACGAATAATGGCTCTTGCCAATCGAGCGT